CCTTTCCTCCCAGGGCTTGGTTTCCAGTCCCCTGATCCTCCGTGTTGCCCTCCTCTCACCTTGCTCCAGTTTGTTGGCATCCTTCTTAAAGTGCGGTGTCCGAAGCGTGGTGTCCCTTAAAACCTTTCACACCTGCCGGGTTGGAAATTGGGACGAAACGCCATCAGGACACTAGACTGAATTAACTCTTGCCCATGATGGGCAGAGTTCTTTTATATGAACCCTAGCATCTTGACCGTGATGGAGAGAATACCCAGAATTTCAACGGAGAAAGGGTAATGATGCTACACCAGAATGCACCACCGCAGACCCATCTCATTGGGCTCTACCCCATGCATCTCCTGGTCGCTTTGCACATTCAAGAGGACTGTGCATTTTGCAATCTGTTAATGAGGCAGATGGGCCGCAGATCAAACTCCTGCCTTTTTTTCCCCTCAAGTCTCGATAATTGCCCTCTATGGCTTTTTAGAAAACACAGCGATTAGCAGAAGTCTCCTGGACTGCCGTTTAGCTCTCTTTCTGATTCTTGGCTCCCACCCAGCGAAGGACTGCTCTGCCGGCAGAGTGGGGAACAAAGAGCTCAGTGGGGCTCAGAACTAGCAGCAATTGGGGGGGGCTTCTTTTGACTTCAGCTCCCAGCCTCCCTCAGTCTTGGGAGATTCCAAAGGACAAGGGTGGGGAGAAATGAGACAGGAGAATTTTCCTCCATGCACTTTACAGGTATATAATGCCAATCAAAGCTCACTTTGTGTCTTGCATTTAGGTGCATGAGGATAAGCCATGGCAGGAAAAAAAAATCTCCTCTGAGCATGAGATAACGCATTATTTCCTGAGAGAGACCTTTGTTCAAACTGTGCAATTGCACAAAAGCTGCTTTGTTTGCATAGAATTCTAGAAGCAGTGGATAGATTGTTTGTGTCTTTTTTAAAAAAAACACACACAACAACTACTACCCAAATCCTTTGGAGCTTGTTGTGCAGGCTTGGTTTCCCAAAGGGAAAAGATACTAGTTTTGCAAAGACGGAGGTCCAGCTTGACAGCATGTCCTGTGCGTTGAAGCCCCCATCCCTTCTCTGTAGTGTACATATTGACCGTAACAGAGTTTCAAAAATCCGGAAATTCTGAAGTTTCAAAAATTCCGAATTCCGAATCTAAAAAGCTGTCATTCCGAATCTGAAGAGCTGTCATTCGGAATTCTGAATCTGAATTTTGCTTCCAAGTGCACTTTTGTACTTTGTCCTGAGAGCAGTGTTTGGAAAGGTGACCAGCCCTGCTGGCTGAAGATTTCTAAAGAGCTTCATTCTCCTAAAGCAACTTTCCTAATCTGTTGCCATGTCTCCCTTCAACTGGTGGAGATAAAATAATAATAAATGTGCCTATGAGCAATTCAGACTCATTCTGGCTTGCTACACTTTCCAGTTTACGTCCGGTGGCAGAAAGACCGACCCTACTTGGTCTCTTTAACCACCACCATTGATTAAGCAGTTAAGTGGAATGATTTTGCTATCTGTCATGAAGACAGGTGCTCCGGAGTGGGCGAAATGCTCCACCCTTAACAGTTACGCTTAGCTCTCGTTAAATGAAGAACAAAAGGCATTGACCGCTCAGTAAATATTTATGGGCAAGTGATGGCCAGAGAGATATTTGTGCTCAGCTGAAGGCATGTATAGCGAGCAGGCCAGGACTGCCCGTCTGCTCTCTTTTCCATGCATGGTGCGGTGTGTTCAGGTCCAACTGGAGAAGACCTTACTTTTAACCCAAGTTGTTCCACAGAAGAAGGAAACATCTCCTTTGATTGTCTTCCACTGCTTCCACTGAGCTATTAATGATCACCAGCATAATTAAGTTTGAAACAAGATATAATATGTCAGGCCTGTTGCAAATCTAAAAAAAAAAAATTCATCGTATTTCAGCTGGATGCTCTAAACTAGCATCAACGGGTTATTATGTCTAGGCATAACAACATTACAAAGTGAGCGTTCACGGATCAAGTCCACTTCTTTAGACAAAAGGGAATAGAATGAAATGCCGAATCCACGAACAAAACCTTCCAAACGCTCATTGGCTTCAAGGGTAAAACACTCAACGTGTTCATTGGCGTTCACCCAATGCGTAGATCAGCTACTGTTGACGTGTCCACACCGTGTAGATGGAAAACCTATTATTTACTCACTTGAATTGTTTAGATAAATCTGAGCTTCTGTTCAACGTTTCTACAGCTCTCAAACAAACAAACAAACAAGCAAAAACAAAAAACAAAACACCTCCTAGCCAGTATGGCCAGGGGTCAAACAAACAAACAAACAAAAACAAAAAACCAAACACCTCCTAGCCAGCATGGCCAGGGGTAAGGCCACCTAGGAGATTCCGGGAGTTTTTGATCCCAAAAACCAACATCTCATCATTAATGAGGGAGATCAGGTGACCAATGTATTCTAAGTTATGAAACCAGTTGAGAAGCTGCCAAGTTTGACCGGAAGTCTTCCTCGGTGATTTGTTCTTTCTTTCAGTGAGGGGAAATGGGAAGAGTGAGGAATGCAGTCTGCAGATGCATATTTACAAGGTTTTAGATGTTTGGTTTCAAAAAAAATGGAGAGGCGTGGGAGGCGTGTAATTTCAAACAGGAAAGCATTTCTGACAGATTTCTCATTAGGCACCCCCAGCTCCTTCCTAATTTTGGACATCTGATTGCCATTAAAATAATTGAAACGGAACTCCTGGGGGTGCTTTAAACCCCCACCCCCACCTGTTTTCTTTTTTCTTTTCTTTCTTTTTTTGGCATGGCTTCTTACGATCGGGTTGAAGCAAGTTCGTGACCGCTCCTGTTCTCTTGGACATGTCTTGCGACCAAAGTCTAGATCTGTAAAAATAATACGTGACTAATAGTTGGCATGTGGAATCCGTGGGTGTGAGACCGGGGGAGAAGCAAAGACCGGGAGCATGACTGGGTCTGTTGTAAGATCTGAGCATGTGTGGAGAATAAGATAATCAATGGGTATTAAGAGGAAGGGATGCAGGGGGGAGATTGCTGTCCAAAATAGTTCTCGATCTAGATCTGCCAGAAAAGGCAATGGCTTTAGTTAGATTTATTGACACACTCAACCCTTTTCTCTGTTTGTTGCTTAAGAGAGTGCCCTTCCCACTGGCAGAATTGTTATGGAGTGTTTATGAACATGCCGTTCCCTCTCACTGGATAAGTGAATTTCTAATAAAGTTTATTTTTATTTCTCATTGAAAAGCACAATATCTTGGCAGGGGGACGGGGGGACATTTTTCTTTGGAAGGCCAGGGGCAGAAAGGGAGCACAGCGAGAATTATAAGATGGGCCGCAGAAATTTCTGCAGACATTTTATACGATGCCTTTATCCTCAGTCAGCATGGTGCAAAAACTCTTCTCCAACGAGACGGGAAAATATATTTATGTATTTCTTAAATTTATATACCGCCTCATTCATGCCATGCACTCTTCTGGGTGGTTCACAATGATCAGATGCTATAGACAGTCAAATTAAAATGAAACACACAACATCCAGGGGCTGAATAACAATAGGCAGAGAGACCACTAGGTCTGTAATGCCTTGCATTTCCATTAGAACCTAGTTCCATCTAGCCACGTTCTCCATCTTCATCATGTCCATACAAAGCCGTTATTTCTTAGCTCAGCCTGAAAGGACTGGGGGTTTTAAGCTAACTAGACCCTGCCACAGAAGTCCGGCTGAGGGAATTACCGCAGACCTCTGGGGAGCGGCGCTCCCTGAATTTCGGAAGTCCCATGCCAAATATTGCTTTGGATGCAATTCAGTGTCATTTGTTCTCCTTTTTGGTGATGCATAAATGACCCACCTTTAAGTGGGTCTCCTTCTCCCAGGAGAGAAGTATGGCATGAAGCCATGTGGGCAAGAGTCTGTCTTGAACCCACTGTGCGGTGAAGCACAATCCGTGAGCAAAAGCTGTCAGTGCTTCTCTGTTTGCCCATCTGCACCAGCCATCCGGAAAAGTTGTTCCAGATAACAACTCAGCTTTGTGTTGCCATCTTTTCATTTGCTCTCAGAATGGCGACTTTGGTTTTTGTTGTTGTTGTTGTTCCTTGGTCCATATTTGCAACGTGTTATCACGGCAGCTCCCATGAGTATTAGTAACCGTCAAGCTGTGTGGCTGGAATCCAGGGAATTTGTTTTCAAGTTTATCAAGCACACCCAGCCTGGCCTCTCGCCTTTCAGAGAGATGAATGTCTGGCTTGTTTTGCTGTTGTCTTTTCGAAAACAGTCCTGAGAGGGAGAGGGAGAGAGGGAGGGAGAGGAGGAGGAGGGAGAAAACAGCTGGATGAAAGGGTCTTCAACCCACAAACATCGGTTTAGCTCTTCCACAGGTGCAAGGAAACCCCATAGATGGTGGGTTTTGTGAGAAAATAAATTTCAGTGGATGTTTGGTGAAGGTTTTCTTATTTTGTCTTTTTTTGGGAGGGTTGGACACTCATTTCCCCATGAGGGAAGTGGGGAGGGAATCCAGGATTGTGGCTAAATGTGTTCATGGGACATTGTCAGCTTCGCAGGGGTAACATTTAATCAGATGTGGGTTTCCATCACCAGTGTATTCCCAAGAACAATTCCACGTTTGCCAAATTTTGAACGGGACCCAGCCTATTTCCCTTGCAAACTCATTCAATTAAATATATATATTTTTGCCACTAGAGAGCGCAGGGGAGCATTTTCAGTTTTTTTTTAAAAAAATAAGGTTTTGAGGGTATAGATTTCGTGGGAGCTGGTGCCCTTCCCCATGGTGTGGGGGTGGGTACATGCAACTGACAGCCCCTTGGAAATTGATCCACGTCTGACTTAGCTGGATAGGATTAGGCTGTTTGATCATCTTTATGGGATGCATAATAGTTGCTCAGAATGTGGCACAGGAATCCCATATTGCCTGTCTCACACATAGACCCAGGTGCGTGCATGCAGAAACACAGAAAGGGCTTTTTATGACATCACAAGGGAACCCCGCCATGGTCTGAGGGCCCACCCTTGTGATAGCATAAGGGGCCTCCACCCTGGCCCTGAAATTCCCGGGCATGAGATGCTGTCAACCAGCCAACCCCGGTCACAAGGCTGTGGAACAGTCCAATAAGGATGAGTTCTTACCAATGTCCTTTTATTTCCATAGGAACTTGATGCCGAGGACCTTGGAGGGACAGATCACCATGGAGAAGACCCCCAGCTATTTTGTGACCAAGGAAGCGCCCCAGCGCATTTACAACATGTCGAGGGACACCAAGCTGATAGTCGTGGTACGCAACCCGGTTACGCGGGCCGTCTCGGACTACACACAGACTCTTTCCAAGAACCCCACCATCCCCAGCTTCCAAAGCTTAGCCTTCAAGAACTTGAGCACCGGACTTATTGACACCACCTGGAGCGCCGTACGGATCGGCATTTACGCCAAGCACCTGGACAACTGGCTACAGTATTTCCCCTTGTCCAGATTCCTCTTTGTCAGTGGAGAGAGGTTGGTGAGCGACCCGGCCGGCGAGATGGGACGCGTCCAAGACTTTCTGGGCCTCAAACGGGTGGTGACCAACAAGCACTTCTACTTCAACGAAACCAAGGGCTTCCCGTGTTTGAAGAAGCCGGAAGGGAGCAGCCGGCCCCGGTGTTTGGGGAAATCCAAAGGCCGGCCGCACCCCAAAATCGACCGGCAGGTCCTTCAACGCCTGCAGGAGTTCTACAGACCTTTCAACATGAAGTTCTACCAGATGACAGGGCAGGATTTTGGGTGGGATTGACTGGGAGAGACCTCTTTGCACAAAAGGGAAGCAGCTTGCCTTGCAATGGGAATGAGGGGGTGGCCTGTTGGCCTATCAAGATGATCCATGACATGGATCTCTTTTATTCCCCCCCAAACCCCTGTGCTGGTCACACGCTGTGGCCACAGCAGATCAGGGGCATGGAGATCTGGAACGAGACTCCTAGGAACCGTTTCCCGTTCTTTCTAATTTATATCACCTTTTGCCAGTTAAAAAAAAGAAGTGTACGCTGAGCAAGGAGGGAGAAAGTATTTAAGCTTGACTTGTTAAAACTGGCATCAACAAAACAAGAGTGATGGAAAAAAACAACGAGTGATGGAATTTCAGAGCCTATTAAATATTCTTCTGAATAAACTTGGGTATTATAGATCAAGCATGAATATTTGTGTGTGTGTGTGTGTGTGTGTGTGTGTGTGTGTGTGTGTGTGAGAGAGAGAGAGAGAGAGAGAGAGAGAGAGAGAGAGAGAGACACTCATGGCAGATAGATGCAATGAACAGTTTTCTTCCGCATATATGAATTTATTATTTATTTAAAATATTTTTATCCCACCTCTCTCCATAAAAAGAATCCAAGGCAACTCACATCGTGTTAAAGACAATACATAGACACTAAAAACAGTAAGTATACAAATATTTAAAAAGAAGTAAACAAGAAATACATTAAAAAGAGTAAAATCAGCATTAAAACACGTTTAAACCAAACGGAGCACGACCGTTCATTTAAAAATTCCTCTCAGACCACCAGTTATTAAAGGAAAGCCTACCTGAGGAAGGATAGCAACAATGGGGCCAGCCTAGCTTCCCATGGGAGAAAAATTCAGTGGCTTAGATAGAGCTCTGACTGAAGAGACAGAGGTTGGGAGTTCAATTCTCCCCAGTGCCCCCTTGACAGAAGCTGGCCTTGAATATCTATAGGGTCCCTTCCAGCTCTGAAGTTCTAAGGTGATGATGATGATGATATTGTTTGAAACATAAGTTTCCAAACCTGAATAGAAGTGTGATTCTTCATTTACTAATTTTCAAAAAAATTCTTCTCTCTGGTCAAGACTATGAAACATTTTGTGCGTTTTTCAAAATTTTGCACGTTTTTTTGCAAAAAATAACCCCCCACATTATTTGCGTGGTGCACAAAATCCGTGTTTCGAGTAGGAAGCATTCTGTTTGGCACAAATTACAAGCAGTTTTCAACCTACCCCAAACTTTGGCTCTGAACCATTTTTTTTCCCCTGCTGATTTTAAAAAGTGCTGCTCTTTTCGCTGTTGTGCAGGAGCACAAAATTCTCACAGCCATTAATCTTTTTTTTTTTTTTTGGACAGGGTGTTGCAAGAGGTGGAGACTGCTTTATTGCTAGTATTTGTTGCATCTTTTATCATGAGACTCAGAAAGAAAATGGCCTACAGCTTAAATTCACTTGCACAAGTGAAATGAAAGGGAGGCCAGAAAGCAATTAACGGAGTTCAGTCTTTGAACTTAGAAATTCATATTTTGTTCATTTGCAAAATAGCCGTTGTACTGTCATAAGTGAGAATCTCTATGTCTGTGGTTTCCCTCTGTCCTCTTATTCACAAGAGCTTCAACGTTTCAAAATTACAGCAGTAAATTGCCATTCATTTTAGAGTTGGTGCTTGTATTCCTCATTGTACGCCAATCACACGAGAGGTGTGCAGCGAGAAATATAGCCACCAACTCTTGTTATGTTATCCACCGTCAAGTCAGAACTGACTTGAAGCTACCCTAGTAGGCTTTGCAAGGTAAGCAAGATATTTAAGGAACGGCCAGTTGTCAGTTTCACCCACACACAATGAATTTCCATGGTGATTCCAACCCAACTCTCTTGAGTCCTAGTCTGACATTCTATCCACCGCACAACACTGGATATCTCAATCAACTTCTTAACTAATAGTAATCTGCCCTTATGTGTGGTATCATTGCATCTGTGCTAGTGTGCATAATCAATATGATTCTGGTGCCTGTTTCTTAGTGTACACACAACCCTAGATATACCACAGAGATCTTTACCTCCTTTAGTGCAGACAAAGACTGATGCACAAGTAATTCAACTATGCACAACATATTCACTACCACTGATGTGAGAGGAGAACTCCATTTTTACACGGGAGTGCTAGTCTTTTGGCTAACATTACTGAGTGAGGTCAAAATGTTGAGATGCGTCTCGGTTTGGGTCGGGTTTAGCACGCTTGGCATCAATTTAAAAATATCCGTTTACACAATGTACAGATGATTGTGAGTTTTCTGACTGGGAAGCATCATTCTTTTGGTTTGGAAAATGAGGTATTTTAAACAGCTGTAAGGCAGTAGTTCACTCTATTGTGGATGCCATTTATTTTGACATGCGTGCTCACCTGTGTCAGAGAAAATCATGTCTGTGGGAGTTTTCAAGTATTGGATGCGAGGATCACGGGTTTTGGGCTGCAGAAAAACTTTGCAGTCTGATCCGCTATTACTTTTTCCTATCTGTAATACTGAACTAACGCTCTTCCAGTTTGAAAGAAGGCCGATATAAAACACAGGTTAAAAACAGATTAAAAGAGGCACTGACCTCAGAATCTCATGAATACCATGTGATCCAGTTTGAAAGAAGGCCGATATAAAACATAGGTTAAAAACAGATTAAAAGAGGCAACTTTAAATTGACTTCAACGCCACCCCCCAATCCATCACCTGATTTATTTCAATAGTAGAACCACAACCTGAGTTAGGAAGAAAAAGTGAAATTGACCTTAATGGGGCCCCCTTCACTTTGATGCACCCTGATGGCCTGCAGCCAACAACCCCATCTTCTAAACCTTTATTTTTCTGGAGAAAAGGCTGTTGTTCCTTCTTTTACGACGGATCTGGCAAACCCTCACCCGTTCGCTTTTTCTGGACTTTCCCAAACTTTGCGAGAGACCCCGTCTCGCAACTCATAAAAAGAAACCGACAAAGGCCACTCTGAGCGCATTCCCAAATGTTTACAATAGCTTTCGTCGCTAAAAGCCCGGCCACTTTCTCATGTTTTGCCGTGCAAAATTGCGGGCCGGGAGAGATGCTCCGTGGAGCAAAATGGAAAAAAGAGACACTTTGTCGGACCCAAGAAGGCGGATTCCATTGAGCAAACTCTAGGGAGGCGATGCACGTTTTAAGTTCTTGTAACAAGAGGCTTAACGAGGCTTTGTTTTCTCAACCTCTTCATGGGGCAGTAATTTTGTACAGGTGATGCTCAAGGGGCTCTTAAGCCTCCTCTGAAGACTGGACTCATGCATGGCCTCTTCTTTCGGATGGCTTGTTAATCTGTTGACTGAAAAAACAAAGAGCGCAATGACATGGATGTCTGAGGCGAAGCTCCGCAGCTCGCCTGCTTCCTGTTCTAAAAGGGAAGGCTTCGGAGATTTGTACATGAGCGCACACCCAAATATGCACCGCGGTGTGCCTTTGTGGTCTCTGAATGATCGGCTGCTGAGATCCTTGGTAGGGGAAACCGTTAGACCTTAGGAGGAGGGGGGAATTTTCCTCCCACCCCCAGTTTGCCGTTGATCAAAAAGGAATGTTTGCAAATCACTCCAAAAATTGGGACTAATTGAAGGTTAATTGAATTTGAGAGGAACAGAACCCAACAGGTTTTTTCTGCACAGTCCTTTTGCTCTTACAGACCCGGAGATGAGCCACAGTTCTGATTGTGGTCCTGAATCAAAGCTTCTGGTTTTCCTTCTCTTAAGAGGTTCCTCAGTTTTAACATTTGTAGGTCAAGCATGCTGGGAACGGCAGCACATCCTGAATTTCACCGCGGCCGATCAGGGAGAATATATATATATATTGGTCGCTGCTCACTTTTAGCAAGCTTACCAACATTCACAAACGATTATGTTGGAACGATAAAGCCAGTGAGAGGGAGAGAGGGATTTTTTAAAAAAATTGCAAATATAGAGCTTCTCAGATTACAGCAGAAGGAGGTAGGTTGAAAAGATGATGCCATGATAAAGTGCATATCTCCATCATTTTTTAAAAAAATGTTCTGTTCTGCCCAGGAATAATCGGCTCAAGTTGCAAAATAGGCTGCCAAGCTGGACTTCAGTTGTACTGGTGACTCAGAGTTGATTTCAATTGTGTGTTTTTTTTTTCAATGGCTCGGATTTGATTTATGACTCAGAACCCACCCAGCCACCCCCTTTTTTTTTTTCTGGGGAAAAAGGTTGTTTTTCATAGGGACTTGGACTTGGGACATGAGACCAAAGATTGCTTTTCATAGGGACTCGGACTTGGGACATGAGACCAAAGGCTCGAACGTGGGACTCAAACTTGCCAACATTCCCGGTTCTGTCAGGATTTGTTCAAGGGTGTTGAGGTCAGTTAAGCCTTGGGAAAGTTCAGTGGGCTGTCCTTGTGGCCCTTAGAATTCAATCAATCTAAATTTTGGAAATATTCAGGCGTGGGAAGCTTGCAGGGAACCTTCCTTCCCGTTCTTCCAGTTGAGGGGGTTAGAAGTGACTAGAAATAGGAGCCCTGATGAAATGGCACTTATGTATTTGGGGGTACCTGCCTTCATTTCTACAATATTATTATATCCTGTCATATTAAAACTCCTGTCTTTTTCTCTGAAGCGAGGAGGTAGGTGGTGGGCGAACACACTTTAAAGGGCTTGATGAAAAGGAGGTGAAGTTGGAGAACTAGTAACACAGGTGAGAATTCACAGAGAGAGAGAGAGCCGCACACATGCACCATTGTCCCAGATGCCTGTCTTATATTTCGCTAACTGTGGGTCAAATTACACATCAAGGGAAAGGCCTATTTCCTCCCACCACAGTGTTTTCCCTCCAGATATGCAGTTCCTCCAAAGCTCCATGCCTGAAACCATCAGACTTGCCGTCAAGTTTCACCCAATTTGTGGCCACCCTAATAAAAGATGTTTAAGAAATGGCTTCACCGATGCCACCCTCTAGTTACTTTCCATTCCTGAGCAAGGATTTGAACCCGAATCTCCTGAGGCCTAAACCATCACTCGGCCCACAATTCCCCCCACTGGCTCGGATTCACTATATGAGGGCCTAAACTTGTGTGGGCCCCTTGGAATACTTTGACTTGTCTTCTGTGACGTTTGCACTGTCGTAGTTATACTGCCATTCATATCTACATAGGTACGTTGACATGCACAAGTTTGAAACCTCGTTTCTTTTTGGTTGTTGCTACTGCTGTTGTTTCCAGGGTTTATATTTTCCCCCCAACTTAATCGTGCATGTTTTCCCCCCCAAGGAGAAGGCAGGTTAAAGGTCTGCTCAATGAAGAGGCTTCCTCCCAAAAGCAATGGGTCCTCATTCAGTCTTGGGGTGCACTTTTATAATTAAGGAAAACGCTG